ACGAAACTATTTGGTGTGTATTCGTTTCTAGGCCTTCTCGTCGCACTCATATTTCGACCCAGCGCTTACTCACTCCTGGGTTAACGCGGATTTTATGCTCGATGGGTGCATGGTCGGATTCCTTGCGGCAGACTCTTAGATCAGCCATCACAGTTCCTGTCCCGAATTTGATGATGTACGCTGATGCCCGATTTGCCTCAAACTGCTCTCTAGAATCTCGTCGATGTCTATCATACCCTACCATCATACCCGCACAACTGTTATTATTGTAGCATTCACTTAGGACTGTTCGTCTTGTATCAGTACAATTTCGTGTTGTCTGCCAGCTTTTCCTCGCTTGCGGCGTGTGATTTGCGCTGTTCCGGAGTCGGAGCGCGAGACCAGGACATTCAATATCCCGATGCAAATGCCGGACAGTCGACAGCCAGGAAACCAACACGCTACACCTACTGCGAACTGCGAACTGCTAGTCCTGTAGCTATGTCTCTGCAGCTAGACTCGTCCGTGAACAGCACACAGTTCGCTGACGCCACATCAGCGCCCAAGGCTATTCATCACGGCACCTGGTTCACGTCTTCTCCACTGGCAGGCAAAACTTCACAGCTCCCAAATAACCGCAACAGGAAACGGAAATCCTCTGACAGCCATATGCGCCTAGATCCTTCAGCAAGTCTCCGAAAACGACTGGCTGTGTCCCTGGCAGAGAGGATTAGCAGTGCCAGGGCTACCAATGACTCTGATTCCGGATCGTTCGTGCTAGAGGACAGCACGGACACGAAGAGATGGTCAGGTGAGAGAAGGAAGACTTCTCGCGATTGGATTGTGAGTGTATGCGCGCCTATTGACCCTCCGGACCCTGTGATTTTAATTTTACGGCTAGGAGCAAACTGGGTCATCGGAGCGAGTCGATTCTCCTCTACCCATGGACATTGACGTGGTGTCGACGTCGGGAACCGCATCTGAAGCGGCCGTGGATGCTTTTTTGAACACCATAGACCTCTCAAGGTCGGAATCGAGTCCGACGCAGTCGGGAGATGTCCCCATGTTCCTGCATCCCGATCCTTCAGATGCTCCTTCGTCACATCCCGAAGGAGCTACTGCTTCGATGTCGGTGACCTCTACGGTATCGGTATACGATGAATGCAGGTCCCGTTTAGTTCCGCTTGTCGTCCAAAACGCCAAACAGAGAAACCCTGAAGCACAAATAGAAGCAGGGATGGAACAGAATCTCAAGTCTATCCTGACGGATGAGCACTGTGCTGATTTCCTAAAGAAATCCCAAGAATTTAAGGAACAGGTCCTCGCTCTCGGGCCACCTCCCGTTCGTGTCAAGGAGGAACCCATGGAATCATCGGTAAGCGAGGCGTCGAGCTTGGGCGGTACAAAGGGGGCGTGGGAAGTACACAATGGGGTGGACGGTGGTGAGAGACCACGGGCGCGGAGGCGCTTTGACCCTGTGGTTGAAAAACCGGTTGGCCCTCGAGATGACAGCGAAATAACGCTGATTGATCCTCCGCCTCACATTCCCCTGAAGCCGATTCCCAAGGCTCCCAGAGCGATGCTGCCTGTCAAAACGCCAAAGATCGAACCAGAGGATCATGACCTGCCTCCACCTGTCCTGGATCACCCACAGAATGGGTGGATTAATGAGCAGATTGGACGCGACGACTACTACGACCCTAATCTACCGTCTCCGAATTTAGATGGACGGAATCCTCGTTCGCGGTATCGCAATCGTCGAGCCAGCTACCGCGACGACTCTCCGCCACCATATTCCTCTCCTGCATCTTCTACAAAGTCTCGCGATTATGCAGCATATCGTTCTTTTCGCCCAAGAACCGATTATTACCAGAGCCGCCGTTATAGCTCTCCTTCGAGATCAGAAGCTTATTCCTCCCATTCCCATCACGCTGATCGTATACCACTGCACACACCAACGCACACTCCAACCACCGACTCGTATCCTCTGCCTTACCCACCCTCTGAGCCAGCGCACCGTCCTTGTCGTGTGCCGGGTCTTTGGGGCGTCAAGGTTGGATTATCCTTGCCGCAAATCGTCGTGCTCGAATTTGCCGTTTCCTTCGAGATTGCCGCTGCTGCTCGACGGTGGTGTTGCAGGGATGAATATTTCGAGTGGGTGTTTGGTCTCTCCTTTGCTAATCGTCCTTCGCATCTGTGCTAATGCATTTCCCGGTCATGTAGTCCGAACGCGAGGCACGTCGTTGTGAAACTTGTGTGCCTCTCCAAGGAACTTGTTGAATCTGCGATGCAACAGCTAGGGGACGATGCGTCTCCAGCTTCCATCGCCCACGAAATGTTACAAATACCCATCGAGTGGCCCGAGAGGGGTAGCCTCGTCATTGATCTTAATCTGGGAGGCCAAGGGGAAGAGATTTGGCTCCCAGATCGGCTGGTGAGTATGCTATCTATCCATTCCACTTACGTTTTTATGCTAACGGGCTCTTGTTTTTGAATAGGATCCGACAGATCCCCCATTAGATATCACACCTTTCATTCAGGCCGGAATAAATGAGATGCGCATCATCCAGCTTGATGACATGTCACGGCGCGTCTTTATTCTCGTAGCCTCGGAACCGTCACCCGAAGAACTGCAAGCAGCTCAGGTCCGTGATGATCAGAGGCGACTTTGGGAAGTTTATTCGAAATCGCTGAAGAGTCGTGCGCCCCTTGCACCACTCGAAGAGAATGGTCAGATTAGTGATCTCCCTACTAGTACACCTGGCGTCTTGCGATGGGACAGAGCGGAAGGGTCGTTTGTGGAGTAATGCGTTGTAGACATCCTATCATTATTCTTTGCATGTTTCTGTCGTTGCTATCCCACGTTGTATCCCATGTCTGTCTAGTTCGCAATGCATCATCTGTATATCTTCGAAGTTCGAACCTCGAAACGATTGCAAATTAGTTCACTACTCCGACTCTCTGCTTCCACCTTCGTCGTGACGGGTTCCTCCTTCGACGCCGGGGGATTAGCGCCGTTGTCAACCATTTAGGCTTACAAGAGTCATGCGATTTCCCAACGGCCCACTCTCTTTCCTCATTTCCTCTCCGAAACGATTTCTCTCTACTCGCACGACACTGAACCCTCTACCTGCGACATTCCTTCGCGGAGGAACGTCGAAAGGCATATACATCAATCGTGAACACTTGCCTGCAGATCGCTCGCAATGGGACCCCATTTTCCTCGGGATTATGGGTTCTCCAGACCCAGAATACGGACGTCAATTGAATGGAATGGGTGGGGGAGTTTCGAGCTTATCGAAGATATGCGTCGTGGGGAAGCCTTCTGATTCACAAGTGAAGGACGGAATCGACGCAGAGTACACCTTCGTGCAAGTCGGCATTCGTGATTCCAGTATCGACTACTCTGGGAATTGCGGAAACTTGTCGAGCATGATAGGCGTCTTTGCGATGGACGAGGGAATCTGCCAGCCTCAGGTTGTTACCGGGCAGACTGCAACCATTCGATCTTTCAATACAAATACGAATAAGAGAATCGATACCACCTTCCCCATTTCTCGCACTGGTGCCGGTGCGAATGCAGCTCTCGACCTTCCGCAGGTCACAGTTGCAGGCGTGTCCGGGAAGGCCTCGCAGATCACTCTTGATTTTGTATCTCCAGGGGGTGCAAGAACTGGGAAGCTCCTCCCCTCTGGAAACCCCGTGGACACAATCGACATTGGTGATTGCGAGGGAGTATCTCCGTCGACGACCCACGTGCGGGCATCCCTCGTAGATGCCACGAACCCCACTGTATTCATATCATCCACCGACTTACAGGGCGCATTGGACCTGACACCTTCATCACCTATTGACTATGCGGACACTCAAGTTGGTCGTATCTTGGAGTTCATTCGGCGGAGAGGCGCTGAACGGATGGGTTTAGACCCATCTGCTCAAGCTCAACCCAAGATTGCCATCCTCAGTCATCCATCACCAGAAGACGTCGGTGTCCACGTCGTCATTCACGCTTTGTCAATGGGCGTTCTTCACAAGGCCGTCCCCATGACCGTTGGCCTTTGCCTAGGTGTTGCTGCTCGTGTCGAGGATACTCTGGCCTGGGACATCCTTGCTACCCGACAAAATGGAGAGGCTCAAAGAGATTTATTGACGATGAAGCATCCTGGGGGAACTGTTGATGTCGGGGCAGGATTTGATGAGCAAGGGGGAGTCACCAGTGCAAAGGTTGTGAGAACAGGCAGACGATTGATGAAAGGTGTGGTTTGGTGGTGATGGTTGTTGACGTCCCTCGAAGACTTCGTGCCTTGAGTTACGACCATGGCCCTGGAATAATAGGACGGAATTCCTAACTTCCCTTCCGGATTCTGACTTTGTGAAGTAGATACCGTAATATCCGAAAGAAGAATGGGGGAAACTGGGCGATGCTTCACAATTCATCCCCAACCGACCGACCCTCGGTCTGAGTACTTGGACTGGAGGGAGTAGGGGTAGCCCCTCGTCGTCGTCGGCAATGTCGGGCATCCCCTCGGATCGAAGGTCTAGAAAAATAATAAGAGGGTTGAGACGATCATTCCTCACGACTATTGTTGATGCCAACGTAGTTGCGGGACGGGAGGGGGACAAGTGTGAAAATGGCTTGCCGTGGTTGAATAGACCCTCCAAGCGTACATGTACACCTCGTATTGTTTCTCTGATGAGTTTCGGCGAGTGGAAGGTGATTCACGGAAAGACATTTCGTGACATTCCTCGTCACAAATTGTCACCCTCGACGAAACCGACCACATCACACCGCGTACGGTCGGGGTCTCGGTCGGTGCCCGACGCTCGCTATTGCCAACGATAAAATCGGGAAAAATCGGATTGTGATAGAAGAGATGCTCTTCCAAGTGAGTGAAATGTGGCAGAGGGAGGGGAAATTTTGCTATGGCTCTACGCGCCGATTGGTGCAATGTTGTTCGCAAGGGGATGAGAAGACCCTAGATTGAGAGGGGGGATGGATAGAAGCTAAAAAAGACAAAAGATGTCTCGACCCGGGATCGAACCGGGAACCTTGAGTGCACGACCCGGTTCAATCCCGGGTGGATGTGAGACGCACGTCATAACCATTAGACCATCGAGACATGTTTGGGAAAAGAAATATACCAATATGTGGCATTGCGAACCACTGGCACCTCATCCAGACCTGTCATCCTCTGGTCAACACACCGTCAAATCACCTCCCAGCAGGACGATGTACATATGAGAAGCTGGAGTAAACGGGATGGGTAGACGGACCTCGGGAGGCGGTGGCCGTGGAGAACCTTCCTGAACCAGCAGTTCAAGTGACATGTGTTCATTGTTGCATGTTGTAGATGTGAACCAGGCTGATGGCCAACAGTGCTAGTGTTGTGCAGGCTCAGGCTTGGCTCAAAAGCCCGGGCTTAGGCTTGGCTTCGGAGGGTCAAGGCCTATGGAAAAGTGAGGCTGAGCCCCGCATTCAGGCTTGGGCTTGGTCGGGTCAGGCTCGGGCTTGAGCCTGGGCCCAGTGCAACAGGTTAGTCTCAAGCAAGCATACACACGAACAAGAGACCCTTCATTCCTTTTGATACCTATGTACACTACCCCTCCTCCTCAGCATCTGAATCAAGCTCTAACTCAATTGATACCACTGTGTCCTTCTCGCTTACACTTCCTTCAACACCCT